CGCGAGCTTGAGAGGCTTGGGAAAGGCTCACAAACTTCCCCCTCCTTCCCCCCCCTCACGGCTGGCTGGAAGCTGGACCGCTGATCTGCACGGGGAAAACTGGATGGACTTAGTACAGCTGTGTGTGAGACGCCGACTGAAGTGTATTTACTTGATGAGGTGCGGCAGTGTTTATTTTGTGAAATTCACATCAAGATGCATGTTTTCCGTTTGACGATCGAGTCAGGCAACAGGCAAAGCGACGACAGCGGAAAAACTTGCCGCTGACCACGTCACTCGACACCCATCTTCAAGAGTACTCTGCTTGACAAAGCCGCTTTGAAAGTGGAGAGGATACGTAGATGAGGTTTGAGATTCGAGAAAAGCGATGGGGCGAGATATGCGCCTAGGAGTTTCTAAGAATTGTGGCAAGCGCAAGAAACGCCGACAACTTCTTATGAGAAAGGAATTAAACGACAAGTCTTGTTTGCAGTTGAATCAAAGTGCTGAAGATTGTCAAGATGACAAGACGTTCTAGTGACAGAGATTCCTCTAACACTGTTTTGAAGCCTTGGAAACATGAACAACAGCGAAAGCAACATGTACGATTCGAGATTACCATTCTCTTGCTCTTCCCACACCGAATCTCAAAACAAAAAGCAGCTAAGAAAAAATCTGGTTAGTACACAGCTGCTACTTCTTGCACAGCTAAGTAAGTTTGAAAAAAATCTCCGATTATCGATTGCAAAAGTTTGCGAAGTCATTTTTTCCTTCAATTTGAATCATGATTTCCTCATTTTTTTATATCAGTGTTTGCGATGTTAGCAAATTACCATCAGATAGAGCAAGCAAAGCAAGCATGTACGCTTTGCGGGGCACTTTGAGAGTCGCGAATCTTTATACCAAAATTTCATGACTTTAGGGAAAATCTTGATCTCTGCATTGAAATACAGAATGCCGTCTCCAGCAAATTATTTGTAACCTTTTGCAGCTCTTTGTCGTGCTTAAATTATAACCGAGTTACGATGAGAGCGAGAAATGCGAAGTTTTAATGTCAATATCAACGAAATTTATCAAGGAGTTGCCATCTTTGGAAGTTGTTTACGGTAGATCTGGAAAGCAGACAGCTTCCGCTTTTAGCACTCCATTCTTCCAAATTCATTCTTTATAACCGATGAAATTTTTAGATGACCTAAGCTTTTTCCCGGAAATAATAATTGTAGCTTAGAGTGAAAAGATACGACTCTATATCTCTCAAATCTCTCAGAGTAATAATTTCATGCTGCATGAATACTTCTAAAAATTCGAAATCCGCGATAACAAACAGATTACAAAAAGGCGCGAGCAGATAGATACGCATCGTTCTCCTACGATAAACAGTAGTGGAGCATAGGATTCAAGACACGCTTACAATTTCAACTGTTATGTGAGAAGCAACAGTGATCAAACTTATATAGCTTCTAGTGAATAAGGAGCCGAGAGGGTTGTGCGAGACGGACTGCAAAGTTCTGGTCTCCTGTTCATATACTAGTCGCTGTTTGCCAATGTTTTACGTAGTTATGATTCAAGCAGAAAAGCATTTTAAAAAACGTGATGAATGCACTTTTCCATCATGGGATTCAAATCTCAACTTTACAAATGGATAAACTCGAGAATTCTTGCACGTAATGCCACTCCAGACCGTCACAGCATGTCTATATATAACTTGAAACCCGCTCAAGCGCATCGCACCGTTTTTTGAAAATTTGTCCGATGTCCGAACTCCATAGATATAATCGTCCAGGACCGGTTCTGAAAAATCGCGTGAAAGCCACGAATTACATCTAACAGGAATGCTTGCAACCTTCTTCTGTATTGAAAGTGAAAGTAAGTCGCTGTTCATACCCAAGCTTCCGGTTACCTTGCCATCTTTGCGTTTTTCAGAATGAAGACAAGACGGATAGGCTTCAATAAGCGAAATCAGAAATTGATACCTAGTTTCCAGCACGTTCAACAAGACATCTTCCCCATTTCCCTCTAAGAGCGCAGATCTCGCTATTTACAAGCCCTGCACAAATTTGGACTTGGAACCAAAAAAAAAACTGAAAACGGATGTTGGTCAAAAGTTCCATAAAGCTTGTAAGAACTAATCTATGATAGCAAGTTGTGAAGCGAGAAATTACGAGATACATGAGCATTACCGCATATATAAACGATCCACCACCCAGAAAAAGTAGCAAAATCTCAGCAAACAGGCTGAAAGTGCAGAATGTTAGCGAAGTTGTAAACACGGAATGTCTGTTACAAACAGTGTAAAACAAATAGCGGTCATTTTCACTACCCAGCGGCCAGAACAGTGTTCGAATATTTATTGCTCTTCGGAGTGGCCCGCAGTCTTAAGAATTTTGCGAGAGCTCAATTTGTGAGGGTACACTCTAGAAAAAGAAATTCTGTATATCCAGATTTTTCCTCTGAATTCCGATTATTTGAATATTCGTAAAAATTCAATGGGTCAGCTATGAAGTAGCCGATTATCGGATAAAAAAAATCAGATATTGACTGGAGATAGCTGAATTTGCTACATAACCGGACCGTGGCGATCACTAGCACTCAGTGGCGGACAGAGGGCGGGAAACGGGGAGGGGGGCCGCCCCAAGAATGGGTCGCGAGATTTTTTGAAATTTACTTACACTGGTCATAGAAATGTGCAAGTGACTTGTTTATTCTTGCAAATAATCAAAATGATTTGCAAAATTGTTTAAAAGCCCCTTTTTCTAAATTATAGGGGTCATGGGCCCGCAAAAAAATTTGAAAAGTATTTCAAAAACTTTTTCGGAGTGCGTGGCTAACGCATCTTCATTTGAAAAAAATTTTGCCCTCCCCCCCCCCCGGACGGAGGTCCTGCGACCGCCACTGCCAGAAATAAAAGTTCTCATTGGTTTTTCACTTCACTACACAATTCACTGGTTTACAAAATATTCCCTACACCTACTCCCCTACCAAATCCTGCAGATCATCACAATGATCTGCAGGATTTGATAGAGGGGGAGGTGTCAGTTGCTCATCTATTATCACATCTTTTGCAAGGTCAATCTTTTAAATTCGATTCAGAATCATAGCCCGACGCGCTTAGTCAAACCACGTTTATTGAAGAAAGTAATATAGTTGGTAGAGGGGAGAAGAAGGTTTGTCGATTGCAGTCCAAATTGATTCAAAATCAAGGTCATAGGTTATTGCTACTAAAAAGAAAAAAAAAACAAAGCCATAAAGCTACTACTTCGCTTCGAGACAGCGAAGGGGTAGCTTAATAATATCTGATCTTGTCGAGAGTAGTGCCTCTGCGGTGACGACAACATATGCGCGAAAACTAAGCTACCCTAGACAGCGACGTCTGCGATCTGGCCTCGAGCGCAGGCTCTGTACCTTTATAAGCACCCCATGCTCGATCTCGGGCGAGCAAACTCAAAGAGAAAAAAGTCTTTCCATAGTTGCGTGCAGCACGCTACAATATCCCTGAGCAGTCCTTTATCACTTTCTTTCTTATGTAAGAGAGTTCCTTGGAAGACCCATTGGATGGCTCAAGAGATAAGCAAAGAAAAATGAGGAGTCTTTCTTATTCCTTTTCTAGAAAACCTCTTCTGTCAGTGACGCCATAGCGAACTTCTTTGAGCAATCTGTCGCTTTGCAATATGTCAAGCGAAAGTGACAGATGTCTTGACGAGACTTTTTCCGGAAACGCAATGTGTCTTCAAAAAGACACAAGACACAAAGGACCGTACATGCATGTGTGCAAAACAAGGGGGTTAGGTTGTTAACTTTATGTACAGAAATCTTAGAAAATTTGGAAGTGATATATAGTAAACTAATTTGAGTAAATTGGGTAAAGTGCGAACATAAGAAACTTATAGGGTAGTAATCCCAATTATGCCAACAGAGAATAATTTCGAAAGTTTACTCTAAGAAGATACCTATGGTAGTCTGAAACTGCTCGCACCGTACAAGAAAGATAATTTACTACCCATGGGAAGACTTCCAGGATACATTCCATACTGCACACAAAGCCCCAGCAATGATGGTAGCAGTTAGTCAGCATTGAAAATTTTACGGTGATGATATACCCTTTGATTCAAAAGGATTGGCGAGTGGAAGGCAAGGCTTCAAAGTCTAATTCAGGCTAGGGAATGATTAGTGAGCACGTTCGCGAGAGAGACGCAGACGGTCGCTCAGACAATTGGAAACTCTCAGCGGGCAGCCACAAAGCCGCCACCAATCCCCACCAAAAGCCCCGGCGCCTTATCGCTGCCACTGTGGATGCCCGTTGAATGCCATGTGGCTTCCACATCACTGCCGCTTCATAGCGGCCCGCTGACTGCCAGTTAAGGCAGCCCGCTCAATGCCATCTAAAGGATCCCGCTCACTGTCGCTTATAATAGCCCGCTCAATGCCATTTAAAGTAGCCCGCCCACTGCCGCTTATATTAGCCCGCTCAGTGCCGCTTACTGCACTCTCTCCTTTTCGGGATCCACTACTCCTTCTGTACCTGCACTATAAACAAGCTGGGCATCATCTTTTATTAATCAATTGCCCGAAAGAATGCGATACTTCCAGAAATTTAGTATAATGCAATAAGGCACATAACAATAACTCAACGAGGAACAGATACAGAGGAAAGAAATCAACTCAAAAGATCATTTAGAGTGTCTTGATGCACGTACACGTAACGATACCTCAACAGTGAACAAGATAAAGATGAAGGAAATGAGCTTACATTAATTGCAAACCTATACTGCAACATAAGAGGTAACAGCAAATCAACGAACAAGATGCAGATAAACGAGATAAAGTCAAAATGAACGATCAAGGCATTGAGGAGAAATGAAGATGTCCATGCGGGAAGTGGTTAGAGGTGTTCTGCTCCAAACAAAATAATCAGGACTAACCATTTGACGGTTTTTTAATGCATACCTTAATCGATTCGACAGCTTACTCAAGCGACAATGCGAGGTATGCCTGGTTTTGGTTCTGCAGTTCTCTGAGTTTCATCACTGGGTTAGTTTCTGGTGCTGTTCTTCTTCTTTTCTGGAAATAAACTGAGTCGCTTTTTGCAGGATTATAAGAGATCAAGAATTTTTCGAGAACTACTCACCGCGTGTGACAGCCACTGTTTTTTTCCATGTCGTATTCGTAAGATCTGATATCCCTCCTGCATAATATTTACTGATTTTTACTTCAACCAAACCTTAGAATATAAAACTCACAAGGCAAGCTGCATCCCTTTTAGTATTTCGGATTTGTATAAATCAAAATCGGCTAACAACTCGTCTAATTTCTTCTGGCGTTCCTTTTCGTTTTCGCCAAGCTCGATGTAGAAGCTAGAAATTTGTGTTTTGATCCTGATAACCATTCTTTCAAAAAAGCTAAGCGAGTATCTTATTCAACTTGGGGTCCCGCGCAGGATTAACTTCATTTGGCGTCACGCTGGCGGGAAATCAAAGCGGAGTCTCCCGCAATGATATATTTTTCTATATACTGCGATGATGAGGAGTAGAGAAGAGAGAAATAGTGAGTAAGAGAGACAGAGAGACAGAGACAGAGAGATAGAGGGAGGTCTACACTCTAATATTTCGACAGTTGCAACAGTCTCGCGTAACTGCTTTTACCTTACCGTTTTTGATCCGCTCAAATAGTCGGTACGAGCTATATAACACAAAAGCTCAGAAGCCCAAAAGCGCCCGAAAAAACCCAAAAGCGGCCAAAAAAGCCCAAAAGCGCCCAAAGAAGCCGGAACGCCCCCTTTTGCGCGCAAGTTTTGGGGGTAGGGAATGTGTATTGATCTAGCTATCGAGTCATTTTGCTTCATTTACTATCGTCCGCATATCAAAATAATGTTGGAATTCTACCAAAAGTGATGATTATGAAGCAAGAGCAAGGACGCTCGACCATCTTTTCAATGAGTCATCGTACAGCTGATGGTGCTATCGCGCTTCCGTATCCTAAGGGCCGAGCATACTCTACGCGATTTCAGTCACGACGCGATTTGACAATTCGCCAGAACTCTTCAGATGCAACACTAGCAAATTGCACATGCATGGTGTGTATGATATAAGTGGGTTGATAAAATACGCTATCTTTTGTACATTCAAATTGTGCCTACAATGAGTTACGGACAGCTAAAATATTGCCAAACCGCGTCGCGAATGAAATCGCGTGAAGTATGCCCGGCCCCTTATGCAACAACCATTAAAAGCAAACGAAAGTTATGGTAACTCACAAAAACACGAACTAAGCTTCAATCTTCAATGTCTTCAAAGTTCAAACAATTCAAACTGGAGAAAGCACGGCACCCACTGTCATGGAGACGACACAGAGAAGAAGCTAACAAAAGAAATTCTCTCCAAACTACACACCACGATCTCATCATAAGAGAATAGTGGTGCCATATTTGCTAAGGGATATTCTGAATGCAATAGAGAGAGAAAATCTGTGGGAATGAGATACATATAAGGATGAAATTAAGACGATAAGCTCGAATACTGACGGACGCACAGGAAGAATCAATGACTAATGACGCCGTGCTCTTTCTTGCAAAAGACACGTATCTACATGTGCACAGATGAGCACTGCACAAATCAATCGATATCAGCCAGATACATGTCATCGGTGCCCGCTCATAGCATCTTCGCGACCCGCTCACAAAAACCTTGCTTTCGCAACCCCATCGCTTCCTGCTCGTTGCCAACTAGCTGTTATCGCTGCCTTGTCGTCGCCTTCTGGGAGCTTTTGTAGCAATAACGAGCTCTGTAGTTATTTTCTGACCCACGGAAGATTGTGGCAGCCCGCTGATAGCCTGTCGCTGCCCGCTCGCTACTTTTTCCGAGTTATCGCCGCCCGCCCACTGAAACTGCTTGCTATCGCTGCCCGCTGAGAGTTTCCAAATGTCTGAGCGGTGCGGGCGGTCGCCTTCAGGCCGCCAATCCCATTGAATCAAAGGGCACATATTGCACATTGACGTGAGTATCCCACTCCCCACGAGAATGAGTCGCAGGTTTTTCGCGTCCTGTAAACAGCTTTTTAAATTTGCAAAATAATGATTAATTTTATCAATTTCAAAAAAATGCCTTGCAAATTTTTTCGAGCTTGGCCGCCGCCACCCACCTTTTTTCTAAATTTCTGGAGATATGAACCAGCAAAAATTGAGCGAAGAATTCCAAAAATTCTTTCGGAGTTCAGATTGTTCTTCAGAAAAATTTGCCCTCTCCCCCTTCCCCTCCCCCCCCCCCCGCCCCCGAAGAAAACCTTTGGGGCTGCCACTGTCTCTGCAGCATAAGAGAGATGCATTGGTATTTAGAGGGCATTTAGAAATTGTGGCGATGGCGCGACCGCGCGCGACATGCACGCACTTCACAAATCACTTTTCATTTTCATTTTCTGTCACATTCAAGAATGACCTATACAAATCTGCGAATTACAATCTGTTATCACATTGTAAATTTTTTATAGTCAGTTAGAAGCCGCTTGAAAAACCAAGAAAAGGAAGACACTAAGGGATATTCTGAAGAGATGTTGAGAATTGTTTTCGAGTGATTCGATGCATTATTAACTCCCCCCCCCCCCCCCAATGCTGACCCAAGCTAAGTGGTGACAGATGTGTTGCTGCCATCGAGATGGTCACGCTAGCCCACTTGTAATCGTTAGCAAATACAGCTTTCGCACCGTTGAAATGGGAGCGGCGGCTATGCGAGAACAAACAAGAAAACAATATCGCCTATGTGAAATGGAAGCGAAGGAAGATGAGAGGAAAACTTCGGACACGTTACGGTCGCTATTTCGCAAATCTGGGGGTGGAGGAGGGTTTGCAGTAGGAATGGTACGGATACCAATCTCATCATGCTATAATGAAACTGGCGCAGAAACTGTCTGAAGGAAGTTAGAAAATTCTTGAGCATTACATACATCAATAGAAGGTCACTCCAGGCGTAAGATATTTTGAAGAAAAAAGCAGTGATTTGTTTGAAAAAACCAAGTTATTGGCGCCGACACGATATATTATATCCTTTTCTAGTTCCAAAAAAGGCTTGCATAATTAAATGCATCAAAATCGCACACAAATCACAAAAGATAAAGTTGGAGGAGTTTATCAACATAGTAAAGTTTATCAACATAGAGTTTACCAACTATTTAACTATTTACCCTTTCATCACTCTTCATCAAAACAAGCGATTGACATGTATCTTGTTACCTATTCGTAAGAGGTTTTGTTGGAATAGGAGGAGAAAGTATTGCGAAGTTCTGCTTCCACAATCAAAAACTGATATCGTGAAAACCTGAGAAAGTTGTGCTGCTTGAGAACAAGGTTCAAAAAACGAGGAAGAATTGGATAAATATTGTAGCCAAGAAGTTGTGCGATTGATGAAAGACATCTACACAATAGAAACGTGCAGAACATAGTTGATCCGTACAGAACGCAAGCATTTTGACCGTGCAGCGAACGAATTTGTCAACGATGAGAATATACCCGCATACGCAAGGACGATCATCGCTTTTCTTCTGGAATCAAGAAACGAAGGAGAGAAATTGAAGACGGTCAACCGTGAGTTGCATGAGAAAATTGAAAGCATGACTAGTCAGCTTGATGATCTGCATAAGGAAAACGATAGATTGAGATCCCTTGTCGATACTCATATTTCTGATTTCTCTACTTCTCATGACGTAACTTCTTCCAACAAAGTGTCACCTACTTTTGAGGAGGTCGAAAGAAGTCGATCAATTGTGATTGCTGGTGTTGTCGAAAGTAAAAATTTCAAGTGCAGTGCTAGGGTTACGCATGATTACTTGTGTATTGAGCAAATATTCGATTACTTAGGTATTGATTGTAGGCCACTCTCTGTCTATAGACTTGGTAGACCTCAGCGTAACCATAATAGATTGTTGAAAATTGTTCTTCCAAGTTCCTATTTTGTTCGCGCCATATTGCGACGAGCGCCCCAAATGAAGTCGTTCCCCTTTCAACATGGGATTTATATAAGGCCTTCGCTTCCAAAGGAAGAGAGGGACAAACTAAGGAGGGAACGGGAGGCTCGTCGCAATAATTCAGCTGGACGCACTGCAAATGCGGTTCGTTCTTCTGATGGTGCCATTGAATCTTCCTCAAATGTTAGGTCTTTCTCATCCAATGCTATGTCCGTTTGTTCACATTCCAGTTCTGTTCGTCAAAGTGATTTAAACGTATAACTGTTCCGCGGACTGTGGTAAACTTTTCTAAATGCCTTCTCTCCAATATACGATCTCTACGCAGGAACATTCTTAGCCTCATATACCGCATGAATAACGATGACCTGGACATTGTGGGTTTGACAGAGACCTGGTTAAATCAAGATGTTAGTGATAACTCATTATTCGGAGGTTTCGCAAATTATTCTATATTTAGGTGTGACCGTGAGGGGAAAAGAGGCGGGGGCGTACTCTTGGTTATCAGAAATAATCTTAACCCCTACCTGATATTTAGTGAGTCAGTACCTGAAAGTTATGAAATTGTTTGCTTGGATGTTGTTGGCCATAAAACGGTGCGCATTATTTTTGGTATATAGGTCCCCTACATGTGTTGCAGAAAAGACTCATCAACTGATAAAAGCTTTGACGGATTTACTCAGTTGCGGCAGTGGCCTACTACTCATGGGTGATTTCAACTTCCCTGGTATTGATTGGCCGTGCCACGCTGCACAAATACCTGCTGGGTGTGGGGGGGGCATCCGTAGATTTCATTCGTATGTGTCAGCTATTTGGGCTTTCACAGGAGGTGCGCTCAAATACCCTGGGACACAACAAGTTGGATTTAGTCTTTACCAACGACAGCCATCTCATTACAGGGGTTAGAGTTGTTGCTCCAATGGGTGTAAGTGATCACGCAACAGTATTATTCACTCTTCATGACTACGTCGACAGCCCGGAATATATTACTCGTAGGGATTTTAAACATGCTGATAATGAGGGAATTATCGATTACCTCAGTGGTATTGATTGGTACGGCTCCTTCAACTCGGTGGAGTCGGTTGATGCTATGTACGAGATTTATGCATTTTGCATCATGCTATTGATTTATTCGTCCCATGGGTCTCTCTTCCACTGCGTACTACAGTACTACCAAACTACCTTCAAAGGCTACAGTGTAAAAAAGATTTTGCATGGAAAAAAGCTATGAGTACCGGTAGTAACCTTCACTGGGAACAATTCAGACGCATAAATACCCACTTGTCTAATCGATTAAAAAAGTACTATGCAGCTGTGGAAAAGAAAGTTGTTTCCTCAGGCAATAAATTTCTCTACTACAAATTTGTGGGTTCTCGACTTAAGCAAAGGAGTAAAATTGGTGCTCTAGTGTCTGAGGCTGGGTCAGTATTAATTAATGACTTTGATAAAGCAGAATGTTTCTCTAGTGTGTTCGAAAAAGTTTTCCAAGCCCAGGCATTTGAAGAGGTTGTGGGTGGTAACCAAGCGTTCGCAGTAATGGAAGAGGGCCCATGGTTCCACAGTGAGGATATTTATAAACTACTGATCACTTGGCCCAGGTCCTCATCTCTCACCCCTGATCAATTACCGCTCCAATTTATCAAGTCTATAGCGCACATAATCGCCGGTCCGCTACAATTTCTTTTCAACTTGAGCATGGCTAGGTCGGAGGTTCCAAAAAGATGGCGATCTTCATATGTGACACCCATTCCTAAGAAGAAGCCATACACCCATCCCAATAACTTTCGCCCTGTTAGCGTCACTTCTATCTTCGCCAGATTGTTTGAAAAAATACTAAAGAAACAAATTGTTAAACATTTGGAGAATCACGGAATCCTTTCCTCCACCCAGCACGGGTTTCGGCGTGGTAAGTCTACTACCACTGCGATGCTGCAATCACTCAATGAGTGGACCCTCAATTTCGATAAAGGTCTTAATACCGATGTAATCTACTTGGACTTCACCAAAGCTTTTGATAAGGTACCCCACTCTAGATTAATCCAAAAGTTGATTAGTGTTGGGTTGCATCCCCGTATTGTTGCTTGGATCAAAGCTTTTCTTGATGACAGGTCCTTTATGGTTCGTATCAATGACACATTCTCTCGACCTAGAAGTATGTGTAGTGGGGTACCTCAGGGGAGTGTCCTATCTCCCATTCTTTTTAATATCTACACCCATGAGCTTCCACAAATTCCTGTCAATTTTGGCGTTAGCTGCTGTGCTTTTGCAGACGATTTCAAATTGTATACGACAGTAATGGAAAATAGTGATAGCAGGCGTTTGCAGCAAGCGCTAGATGAAGTTTATAAATGGTCACAAGATTGGGGTCTGCCAATCTCCAGGGAGAAAACAAAACTGATTCACATTGGACCTTCACATTGCAACCCAAATACAGTCTATTTTCTGGATAATTTAGCACTGCAGGAAGTGGGTCGGATCAAGGACCTGGGATTTCTGGTGACTAACAATCTTACATTTGATGAGCATTGCAGGCTTACTGCTGATAAAGCAATGCGGGCGGTCTACAACCTGTTCAGAGCCCTCTCAACAAAAGACGTAAAGGTTCTTTTAAGCGCATACAAGACCTATATCAGACCTATGTTGGAATATGGGACTGTGATATATAATCCGGACCTAATCAAAACCAAAAATTACCTCGAAAGAGTTCAAAATAGTTTTACGCGCAAACTGTTTATCCGTATTATGGGTTTCGAATATGATCTCATACCTGATAGTAAAACTCGTAATAGGAAATTAGGTCTATCATCTCTTGCCCATAGGAGGCATGAAAGTGACCTTCTAATGGCTCATAAAATCTTGTTTGGTAATTGTGGCCTGGAGTTTAAGGATTTCTTTCCTACCAGACAATCTAATACAAGAGGCGGTTCAAGAAAACTAATTATCCCCAGGTCCAGACTTAGGGTCAGGCGAAGTTTCTTTACATGTCGTGTTATTCGTGATATGGATAGGCTCATAAGAATTCGATCTTTTCCTGCGAAGCTATCTTCTTTTAAGCGCATTTTAAAAGATTATCTGCAGTCCGACAGAGTATGTTGTGACTAACATATGGGTTTTAAGCTGTTGTTTTCTTTACAACTTTCGTATATGCATTCTTTTGTATTTGATGTTCTTTGTTTGTTATGTGAGACATGGGATCTCCCCATGTAATAAAGAGAAAGCAACTTGAAGCACCGCCCATCACGCTACGCCTACGCATCTTATCAGGACCAGATTGACCGAGGCCCTACCCTCCGCTATTGAAGAGATCCACTTGACCCGAGAATTGATGTCGCACTTCCCATTAATCCACAACAAACGCATGTTAATCAAAGGACTCGCGTCTTATTATGCTATGGTCCCACGACGAAAGATTTTTCAAGGGCGCGAAAGAACCGTGGGTTTAGTATAACTCTTATATAACTCTTCCTAGATGATTTTTATGTATCTAAATGTTTGCTTCTATCACCTTCTTATCTGGTTGGTAGAATGCAAGTACTATCTAGACTTTGTATAGGGCATCGGCATCGTGCAGTTCATACGTACTCTGTACATCCCTGTGTCATTTTGCCAGCAAACAAACCTCATATTGCACTTTAATGTTTATTTTTTTGTTTACAGGACTTGCTCGTAGTATGGGGGAATCTACCGATGTCAGGCCTCTGCAAAGAACACATCGTATTGGCACCTTGAAGATGTCAGCAGGTCAGTTTTGCTTTCAAAGTAGACTGGAGGGCACATTCTTGAAATTCAAGCCCTATATCACTGTAAAACTCTTGGAATCGTAGATTTTGATAGATCTTCGCTCAAGGAAGGAAGAAAACGGGAAGAGGGGGAGGGGGGGATCTTTAGCCTGAACACCGATGTGTGTCGTTTTTAGCGAGTATAGTCTGCCGCTATAGTTAGTAGATCTAGCTAGTGGTTGGGTTGTAAACATACCTGATAATACCTGAGACACTTTCCGAGTAATTTTCGGCTTGCTGATCAGGGCGGCATAGTTCTTCATGAAATAGACCAGCAAGCAGCACTAGTTGTTCGTTGCGTCACACAGTAGTGAGTGTGGCTATTTTTAACTTTGTTGGCATTATTAAAAACATCCGTTTGAGACTATGTCCGTCTCGACTATTTAGTGTCAACAGTTGGTCCATCGTCGGCTACGCCGCGCCGAGGATTTGTGGGAGATGCGATGGATCGGTCAGCGTTTCCTTGAAATGTTCTACTTTAAAATGTTTAAGTCAGACAATGTGAAATTTGCATGAATGACAAAATTCATGTTTCCATCTTGTCTACGAACTCAGTGCAAGCATTTACTTTTCTCGTAAACCTCAGGCAGTGCCTAGAGTTGCCCGTCTGCCGGCGTCGTGCCAGCGCAGTTCCAGCGCCGTGACAGCGCCTTCTCGGAACTACATGAATCTCGTATCTGAACATTAAGACCCGCTAGCACGGGATGGTTTAGCGGTGGCACGAGCACGCATTGAGGCTGCTTTATACCTATAAAAATGGAATTAGCCAAAAAATTTTGTTTCAGCTATCTAGCCACGCTTGGTCTTGTGAAGAAGATGATGCCCAATGACGGAGGCAGCAGTATCTACAGAGCTGTGTGCGAAGGGGTAAGCACTCTGTATTGTTAAACTTGGGAAACAATGTTTTTTTTTCAGTTGAGTGGCAGTCAGTGCGAGTACCTTGGACTTCAGGAAGTTGTAGAGAGCCATCTGCAACTAATGTACCGTTTACAACGTCATCGTAACGGGTTATGCACTGTGAATAAAATCGAAGACACTTTGAAGACCATCGCACGCTTATTGAGGTATGTTTGTAAATTTTCCAAGGTCTCAATGTTTAGTCATTTGCAACCGTATAATCATTCAGAGTCATCTCTATGATGAAACCTTTTCTTTCCCATTCATTGCATACAGGGCTTACCAATTGCAATATCAGGTATCACCAGCATCTTCACTCCCGCGCGGGACTCTGCATCTCTTTCACGAAGATGCTCTTTAATCATGTCCAATCGACTGAGCTCCGCCTTTCTCACGTTTAGTGGAAAAGTGATCAGAGAGCATGTTCGCGAAAGAGTTGCAGAGTCCAGGCGAAGCGGTCGCATGGGAGCGGAGATGCCGGTGCCCCGACACTGCAGTTGATAAACCCTGTACATCGCACGCAAAGACAGGGCGCCACTAGGGGTTGTCGGCGTCTCGTCGATCGAGCGCTTTCTCATCCCTCTTGCTGTCTGCTGCCTCTTCCTGCGCGAACTACCTTAGGACGCAAATGCGTCCAGTCTATGCGTGCGGTATCGTCTATATCTTCTGATTTGTTTGATTACAGGATAATAATCCATGTTTATCGCTCTGTCGGGAGAGAACCTGACGTGTACCAGGGTTTGAAGCTTACCACTTATCGTCCTAATAAGGTATCTGCACTATTTCCTGCCTTCTAGCGAGCTTTTTCAAGCTGAAAAAGAGCAGCGTAAAGAGCAGCGCAAACGGCGCATCTGGTGTTTTCGGATATTCGAATATCTTGGACCTGCTCACTCAAAAACAGTATCCACTTCTTTCGAATAATTTTATTGATAGGTGGTTTTGTGTGAGTCTGCTCGTGGCCGTTTCGATCTGGTATACAGTTATGAGGACCACATCAACCTAGCATGCGCTCAAAGTATATTTTATTTTTGTAGACTCTTAGTGTATGCTTATTTATTATATTAAGGTGTTCTTTATCACATGCTGTATGTTGATACATTCAAAAATTCACCCGAAGTGATCAAAGAGTGTATCGCTCATGTTCGAGCTGATATGGGTAAAATTTCTTAGATTGCGCATCACGCTTACTTTGATCGCTGTTATCTTGCAGATAGCGTCGGAGGTGACATACAAACTCCATCATCTTCTAGGCCTAGCCACTTTTCATACCCAACCAGCTCCTCACCCGCGCAGGTATGCATACACTCGATTTGCCATTCTCCTTGATTATCGCATTTACAGCATTCTGTGGGAAATTGGCGACCCCCTATCCCCTATTCTGCTGTGAAAGCTTTGGATCCGTCTGTCTATCGCAACATCGCCTACGACCTCTACACGAAGGATAAGAGACAGCAGCTTGAACAAATTGGTATCGGTAGTAATTGATTTGATGAATTCTTTTTTACCTCTCGCCTTTGAATTCCCTTTTGTCTTCCAGACAGATTTGAAGCTGGTACGCACTGTTTCTTCCTGCGGGCTGAGGTTCTTCACAAAGTAAGTAACAGAAGTAATCAATTAATCTCTGTTCTGTTCTCCGTAATATAGATCTGATTTGATGTAGTTGGAGTGAGCTCACGAAATTTGCAACTCAGTTAATGCAGTGATCTCCCCATTTTTGGCTCAGATAAATGGTTTAAGTTTTAAATTGCATAGTTTTTCAGAGCTGTCATATACCACTGTCATTAGGTCTCACTCCTGTTCTCTCTCTCTCTCTCTCTCTCTCTCTCTCTCTCTCTCCCTCTCTCTCTCCCCCCCCCCCCCCCCGCCTTCAGGATAACGGACGATATCATGTTCGATGAAAGCATCCAGTCTTTTTTTGTTGTATTTTCTAGTGCAGAGCTTGTAAACTCAAAAATTGACGGAAATTGGTGAGGGTAGCTTCACCGTTCATCACTACGGGCTTGTAGCGCTTGCCCGTTCCACCATCAACTGCTCACGAGCTGAAGTCATGGCCACCTAGATCGTTATCGTTCTGCGTAACTATGTAGCTTCCCTATCCTCAATCGTTTTAAGCACTTACTCTTCATTGTAGGCGTTCGTGTTGACAGTTTTGGACGAAGAAAATCGGTTGATTATTGTGGATGGAAAGAAGAGGTGTGTTATTATACTTTTTCAAAAACCTCTTAGCATCTTGTTTCAAGCAAAGTTCCTCATTTCCGGTTTTATTTCCGAGCTTGTTCCTTGCAGCTGATCCGAATTCAGTTTATTCCAAACTTTTACAGAGGCTTTTTTCCAGGAAAGTCCGAGTCTCCGATCTGGTTCCCTTTACTCATTCATGGTCACCTGTTTCGAATATGATTGCGAATGGTTGTGTCGGCGAACATGATAGCGCGAGCAGCAGCCCCATAGACGTAATTTAGTTTTTACAAATTAACTGCTCAATGTGTAGGAAAGATTTTCCTAATGTTTGCGCAAAATCTAGGATGCTGGCACAGTAATGGCCATCTCTCCTACTGTTTGGACTCCTGCTTTTTTTTTCACCTTCCCGAGTGGATACAGCTTATATGAAGATACAACCGCACAGGTAGCTCACTTACGTTTTCCTCGTATTACGTGCATGTCATCTGCGCCCAGTAATTAACATTTTCACATCTTTAGTACGTACAGCCGGCTATAACGAACTACCCGTCATTTTCACTACCGACCATCACTGAAGATCAAGGAAATGGTTGTAATGTTTAAGTTTTTGTCCATTACTGTCTTACAACTGGTATTTAGACTCAGGGACGGGCCCATTGTTTATGCAGCCGAGATTCACGAGGAGTGCAACTGCACCTTAGTGTGTTCTTGAAAGTTGAAGGTGATTCGGAATTTATTGTAATATTTTTCTGAACTAAATAGCGTTTAAGAAAGGAAATCTGACTTATGTATTCTTTTTAGATCATTATTACAGGTCTTTCTGTATCGTCACAATCATCTTGCCGAGTTCCCTTATTAACTTTTCTAGCAACAAATTCTGATTTATCTTATCTTGTACTTTGCAATATTCACTGGCAATTTCCATTTCCATTCAACATTCAGAGGCATCATAAATCACAGTTTTATTTCGAATTTTAGATCGCTGAAATCCGACTTTTTGAAGAACGCTTTGATTTTGATTTTAGCTATCTGTACCCCATATATTCACTCATTATGATTGTCTACCTACTGTACATTAGTCTTCTCGCAAGTATAAGTGTTAGTGTAGTCATGGACCTCTAGAAGGAATTTTGAATCACTGATCCACGTTTTACTGAGATGTTTTATTGAACGTTTTATTGTTGGTTTTACTTCTTGTAATTTTTCATTTTTATTGTATATTCCAGCATTACAACTTAACCACTCATTGAAATCTAATAAAGATGAAGTTTTTTGTAATTTTTGTTGAAGCTGAATTACACATTACAGACATGTGCAGACCATTATGAAGATGAGAAAAGCATCACGTTCGAGACTTCTCATATATTAATTGTGTCCATAATCGGGTTGAAAATCGAGAATAGTATCATCTGGAATAGCGTGAAAATTCTTTTTTTTATCATGTGTAGTGCTCGTGCTTCACCATATTATCTAAACAGGCATCGCTTGTGCTATCGTCCATGTATAATTTGAATTAATAACATATGTGGTAATAGCGGACACTTGTAGACATAGCTGATATGATGGCTCATGTCTTTTCAGTTCAGAAGTAGCGGTTCCAGGAACTTTTTCGATTTTGAGGGCTGGCATGCTCCGCTCCGGAGATGCTTTGGTGCTTCCCAAACTATGGGCAGCTCACGCACCCCTAGAAATTCCTCTGCGCAGCTGATTTGGCTTTTTGGAATTTTGAAGGTCGATTAACAAAAGTATTAGGTTGAACACTAAGTTTTGCAACTTTTCTCATAACTTCCCTCTCACTCATCATGGCGCACTCAAATTTTGCCACTGCGTTGGTTACTACATAAACTATAGGCGCAGCTGCTGCCCTACCAAATTCTGGCGTCGCAGTGAGGGTTACGGTAGGTGCATGGTATAAAGGGGAAAAATTCAAAGTTTGACGGATTTGGCTGAAAATAGGCATAGGAGTGTTATCCGACATGCTGATCACGAAAACGATAGTGAAATTGCGTGATAAGGGCTTTGTAGGATTACTGTAGGTGTACGATATGGGGTCTCACCCTAAACGAGGAAAAAGACGTTGATTCAACAAATGAAGGTGATATTCGCGTTTGCCAGGTCAAATAACCTTACTATGTGAAGTCTCGGCAAAATTCGAGCTTCGGACTCTTTAGTCATTGACGGTCGTCCCCAGCAGCTCTTGCGTACATCGACTCGTTCGACTTTATGAGGACGCCAAATCTCGACATGCCCATAAATTTTGTTTCTTTCTTGCTAGGCCAAAGGAGTCAACCTCTTGCAATAATTTATAGACGAAACCGGATTACTGCGCATGGTCTAGGCTGCCAAAGGTTTTTTAGAGTATTTGATGCGGAGTTAGCACACGATCTTACCCTGGTGTACTGAGTTCGAAGCTCATCTAACAAAACCTCAGAAATCAATAATTCGTGAGAGGGGTTAACTGAGAAAATGGTATTTTTGGTAATCAGCATGCTCATTTACCGCCCTCTGCCAATTTGTAGCCCTCCAGAGTATAAGAAATTGATAAAATGATAAGTTAAATCAATAATTTTCTAGCGGAAAAAGCTTACTGAACGATCCGTCCTGCCGGTTCGAGTTTGCAATGTTTGGTTCGGATTTAATTCTTTATATCAGTTTAGGCCGAGAAGAAAAAGACAGAAGAAATACTCTGCAAAAAACGCAGAAGTCAATAATTCGGTGAAGCCGATTAATATTTTTTAGCAGAAATAGCTTATTTACATATCCCGTCCCACGAGGCTAGGCTAAATCTTATATATTATGATTACTGATTTTAACCACTTTCATATATTTCGTCCCTCCCTCTTCTGTCCGCCACTTCCGGATGGGGTACATCTTCAGATGTGGACCAGTACCCTCCTAAATGAGCTATGTTTTATGGAAGAAAACTCCCGATTCTAACATCACCAAAAATGATGGTTTTATGGAAGAATCAAACTTAGTAAATTGTACATCGAAATTGTCCATATTTTGCACACTTAACACGTTGACGACGAGCCATTTTTTGAAGGTCTGTCCCTGTGGACGAACCGTTTCCGGGCATTTTCACAGCCGGCTGCACATATATATGCGTGCATCTATGCGTGAGATACACAAATATGCAAGTGGGTGGGGCAGCTCCGCCCACTTTTGGCAAGCCCCGCCCACTTCTCAAAAATGCTGGAAATTGCCCAAAATCAATGAATTCGTGCAAATTCCGGCATTTTTGAAAAGTGGGCGGAGCTTGCCACCGAGGGGGTGGAGCCTGCATTACGGGGAGCGGGGTTAAAATCAAGATTATTTGAGGTTCCCCTGTCATCTATGAGCTTTTCTACGCGATTTTAGAACGAAGAAAGTTTTTTTGTAGAGGGCAATGGAGTGGGCGGAGTTTGCCAAAAGGGGGCGGGGCCAACATGAAATACTTTCGAGCCTAACTTGATTATATGAACACAAATTGGAACCATTGTGCTCATTAAAACTGATGTTTAGGGTGTCGCGCACCATTGCGCGACATCGTCCACAGGGACAGACTGCCTGTCGCGCACCATTGCGCGACACCGTCGTCAACGTGTTAATGAGCGGTAAAACATCTTCTTCAATTATACAAAACCTATCAGCTCGATAAATGGGCTAAAGGCGAAGCAATGCATGCATGTGGCCTAAGTGATAGCCGTAGGTGTTATTTGCTACACATTCGTACTCTCCAGCATCAAGTACTCTGGTAGGGTCGACATCCAAGTGGGAAGAAATTGTGTCCTGACGAATGATGTTGCGGATCTGAAAGAACAAAAGTTTCAGGTTCTGAAGTGCCTCCCTTGCATTTGTTTAGAAAAATTTTCGCTTTTGGACGGCAAAGTGGTTTTGTGGCAAAATGTACTCGTTGAACTTTTTTCATAAACAGCTGCCTGGTGGCGAGGATAGTTTATTGCTTTTTCCAAAGTTTTGACAGAATGTCATTCTGTGATTGATTGGAACGGGTCAAAAAAATTTAACAAATGAAAAGATAAAAAAATGATATCAATAGAGTAAAACGTATCAACAAATGTCATAGGCCTCGAGCAGAGTTCACGCGATTTGATCGTTGCGATTGATCGCGACAAGACAACTGTAACAATATCATTGCATGCTGATCTTCTTGCATTTCGGTTGTGATAGTTTTCCAACACGACTAATCGTGACTAACTGTGACTAACTATCACAACTGAAATGCAAGTAGATCGGCATGCAGTGAACCCGTAAAGAGCCGGGCATACTTCACGCGATTTCAGTCGCGACGAGATCTGGCGATTTGCCAGAAGTCTTGAGATCCAACACTAGCAAACTGCACATGCATAGTGTGTATAACGTAAGTAAATTGATAAAATGCCCCATCTTCTGTACATTTGAAACGTGCTTACTGGGAGTTATGAACAGCTGGAATATTGCCAAATCGCGTCGCGACTGAAATCGCGTGAAGTATGCCCGGCCCTTAACACTTGTCTTGTAGCGATTGAATCGCGACGACTAAATCGCGTGAACTGCCCGAGGCCATACAGGATGTCCCAAAAGTATGTGAACACATTTGAGTGCTAATATCTCTCTTCCCAAAAAGTCTTTAGCCTACGTTCAGGTACCATTTCTAGAGCTGGCTTAACTTGGATCCACATATGGAGCAAATCACCGATCGATTTCCATTACTATAGGATTACGATGAAAAATTTTAGCTTACAGCGTCGTTGTGGATCAATTGTTACAAAAAAAGTTTTCAAAAATTTAAAAGGTTTACCAGGTTTTCACGCATGCTGATTTTATTACACAAATCTTTGCGAGTTTACACGTACAATTTTTAGAATGATGTAGCTTGTAAAAACAGCTACTGCATTTACCCGGTATAACTTATGAAGCAAGCATTTCTGTAAAGTGCAAACTTTATATTTAATTTTAGGCGGTTCGAAATAGCCTAGTCTAAGAGTTTTCAAGTTATATGGTTAGCCTCCTGAGGCGGCATAGCGCCAAGGCTCAAAACCCTTCTTAAGTTTATACCGTGATCAACAGTAGTGGAAAGAGGCCGGTGATTCTTTCATACTGTGAATCCAAGTTTTAAAGTTGAAGCCAGTTTACAAATGGTGCCTAAGGGTAGGTATAAAACTTCTTGGGAAGTCCCAGATTATTACGTGGCCTACAATGAACCTATCGCCTTGGTCTCCATATTGCTCGTATAAGGTCAAATCTTTTAGAGAGGGGCGTGGTCATGCTTCTTACTTTGATTGCCCATAGAGGGCCTTGATTTGAGACATCATTATCGAGGAATCAGTATTTGAATGTTGCTTCATTTATTTGATTTACAGATTTTCCCCCGCTAGCACGAAGTCAAATGAAAGATGACATCACTGTAAAAGCTTTCGCACCTGAAGGCCAGGTCGAATGTTGATCTCGACTCCATCCTTGTACCATTTCATATCTGGTCGTGGTGTTCCGTAAGCTTGACAGAAAAGACTAAGTTTGTATCCCAAGCGAAAATGTTGCTTGAAAAAGCTGTGCCGATCTATGCGCGGGCCCTTGAAAATGGACGTCATTAGGACGGAAGATAGATATATGAAGGAAAACGATCAAGAAGGCTACCTCATTGCTTTTGGAAAAGTGTAAAGCGTCATCGTTGAGTTGCTGGTTGGTGGCCTCGATATTACAGCAAATAATCAAAGAAAGTAGAAGAGGTAGCATTTCACTGTATACATTTGGGCATCTGCAAGAAGAGAGGTTCAGAAAAAAGGTACGGTAAAAATGCACATACTAGACACGACAAATCAACGCAAGAACTTTTGTCAATTTTTATTTTGTTACTCATCGTCATTTTGGTGTTGGCTCATCTTATGCAAAAGTGAGAAGTGGAGTCGCTCAATCGGTCCTATGCACTTCATCAATCTTATAACTTCGCATAGTTCTCAAATTTCAGATGGGAAAAGAGCTTTGTTGTCAATTCCCAGAAAGTGTAGCGGTGGTTTTTTGGCGAGTCTTCTCATCCCAGTATAGTAATTAATACTAACTTTTGCAGAGAAACATGCAAGAAACGATTTTAAAGACGAGATTAAGCATTTAAATGATTCCCACTGAGTGTTTATGGTTGGAAAAGTACATTTTACAACGTTTTGCGCAGTACACTTTTGCAATAAATACACTCAGCCCTTATGCGATCTCCACAGGGCTTAATGTAGGTAAGAGAATGTTGAATAAGTTATTGACATCTGAATTTTTTTAATTTATCTGTGAAATGTACAAAGATGCATCAGAGCAAATAAATGGATCGTCAAATCGTCTCAACTTCTTGCCATAGCCTCAGGAAGAGAAAACAGCCAAAGAAAAAGCATCGCAGCAACCTTGAAATGCAAATAAGATCAAAGAAAGAGACTAAACATAACCGTGATAACAAGCACATACCTTTCAAAGTTTGATAGCGAACTGAATGAAAGAAGTTATATGCTGTGCTCAAAGGCTGGATGAAGAAAGCCATGACAAATACTTTTTTGATCGTCGATTTTATAAGAGGCTCAACCTACCATAAAATATCCTATGAAAGCAATGAAAACAACTACTACTCTACTCATATCTACTCCATGCAAGAGATTCTGCATGCGTAGAAGGGTCTATGCGTTGGTGGGAGAAAAAGTAAAGTGAGTTTAGGGAAAAGTAGAATGGCTGTGAAAAGCTGGAATGTGCAAAGCAGTCGTCAAGAAGTGTGGACAGATGAGTCAAGAAAGTGAAGAAGATTGACTGAATGGGAGAAGACGGAATGGAATGTGAGATATGGTTGCGCACATGTCTGAAAGCTTTAGCAAGGAGAAAAGAGGAAAAAAGTTTTTCAGGTGAAATTACAAAACTAAGAATTTAGAAAATTAAAAGGGACTTTGTATGAAATTACTATCAGAACAAATCTACATACTGCAGCAAAATAAGAACAAAGTATTTTGGAAAATTTTTATGGGCATAAGAGGCGAAACAGGACCTCATTCAAGAATTTATGTTTTTACTGAAGAAGCGGTGCTTTACTTTTACAAGACCACTCTTGAAAAAAAGTGCAAAACCAAATTTCTCATCTATAGAATTCCCAAATAGTGAGTCACTGAAAAAGCAAAATTTTCATTCAAAGATGGCAAGCGTATATTTCGAAATACAAATTCATATTAATTGCTTCCTAGCTTTGTAAAGGAATAGCGATTTTGAGGAGAAGCCGAGGAGCTGCAGGTTGTTTGCAATTCTACCAAGCGCTCTTGAGCCGGCATCTAATCTGCCAGCGCCGGACTACATGCTGAATATTCAATTGAAATGATGAAATGCTAAGCGCTGCATCCGGCTTTACGCCCTCTTATCCGCACGTGTTAACAGCAATCCATCATTGAACATTATGGATCTTAAAGTGAATATGTCCAAAAAATAGCAGGCTTTTGGTTTATTGTAATAAGGATATGATGAAGATGAGCAAGAGCTCACAAAATTACTTTCGTGGGTAGGGACTTGTTTCCAAGTGTTAAAATTCCTAATCCATGTTCCTTCAAAAATATTGGAGCATCTGAAAGCTTTTAAGCTTTTACGGTAGAGGACATCATGTCACCGGAAGGTGATGTTGCACAGATATCTGCAACAAACCACACACCTTTGTGCAGTGAGCCTTGTGCTAGCTGTCCATGGAGGGGCGACATGCTATCCTCTACCCTCTATTTTTTTTCGTAAGCGCTTGAGTCGCAATTGATAGAGCAAAGCAAGCTCTGCGAGAAACGTTAAGTTCAAGACCAAAATCGAAAAACATTTATTTGGTTTTGCGTGGATAATTTGTACTATACTATATATATACTATATATAACTTCCGAATTTATATGTTTGGAAATAAAAATCACAAGACGTTAGAACTTTGCTTTTTACCACAGTAGCAATTTGTGTGCTACAGCAAAACTAGGAAAGTAGGTTTGAGAAAAACATAACGTTTCTCTTTGTGAAACCAACAATGGGAAGAAAAATTTTCCATTTACTTACATGTTGGACACAATGGACATTCATGGTATATACTTGCTGATTTTCTTCGATGTACAACGATTAATCTACATCTCAATGATGAACCGAGAGGGGTCCAAAAGAATTTTGCAGTACGTGGTTAAAGCCGCGCATCTTTATTCGAAAAATTGTTTTATCCCCCACCCCCCACCCCTCCCCGAGCGGAAATTCTGGGACCGCCACTGCTGCACTCTCGTATGTAACGTAGTGTAACAAGTTTAACATAAAAGCCAAAAAAACGATATTCTCGTAATTTCGATGCAATTTTTCAGATTTAAGCTACACAAAAATACACAAGTTCATGTTCGATTGCCTGCATGTGTCGAATTATGCAGTGACCCCGGAAGAACCATAAGATTATTTGGGACAAAAAAATATAATATTCAAGAATGCGGCATCAAAATCTGAAATAATGTTTGCCAGTTCCAGAAGCAATGATTGGGGGAAATTAGGCAGAAATTGCGCTGTTTGTTCCTTTGATAATTTTTGTAGCCAAATCAACATCTCTTCCTTGCTTTCTCCTGAACAAGTGGGAAATAGCTGAAAAAGAGCAATATCAAGAACAGTTGAAGCAACCACGCGAGGCTCCGAGTAAGAATGTGTTAAAAGTATTAGGGTGTTCCATAATTTTTTTTCTGATTGTACAAATTTTTTTTCTGTTTCTTTCATTAATTGAGTGCAACTCGGTTTTTCATACGATAGAGCAAAGCAAGGTCTATAAGATGGTAGCACCAAGTATCCGCTCAGATCGTATTAGGTGAAATTAATAGCCAAGTTCTGATATTATTCAAAAAATTAGCTTATATCGACGTATCTCCGTTCTAAAGCATCTTACAGACTACCCATCCAAACAAATTCTTGATATCTCAAGCATTTACAAATTCTGTGTTTCCCCTACAGAAATGAGAAAGATTTAATCCGGATAAAATGACTTCGCACTCGTGAAATCCTCCCAGACAGTGATTATTTACTGTATGCATCGAAAAGAATGACTGTATAGTTGTGTTGTCGCTGTTAAGATTTATTGATTTCAATGTTAAAATCGGGGAAAAATAATGGGAACAGAAATCTACTTATTGCTGAACCAACCTATTGCTATGAGGCAACTTAGTTTGAAGCGCCTGATAGTGATTCCACATCACAATCAAGCATCTTATGAGAGAAGAATTTTTTTCCAAACTGAATAGCTCTTATAACTCAGATTTCATCAAGTATGCAGCCGAAGGACAAAAACACACATAATGTGGCCGTAAACGAGTATTTCGGCTTTAGCCAAGAAGTGAACTGCGCTTGAATGAGTCGGCACATCACTCGAGTAAGCCCTGCGAACAGAGCGCACGGGAATTATGTGGGATCAGCTGTGAGACGTCCGGGGCTTTGAATGAAGTGTTTCATTTTAGCTAGAGTTTGTTCGTTCTTCATAGGATTCATGTGCAGAAAAAAATTCAGATTTCCGCAATATGAGAAGCAGGGAATGTGTTTGTTCACGAGGGCTGTGACGCATATTGCATGAAGAACTAGCAATATCCACCTCTCCGCTAGCTCATCATAAATTATAAATGTAAAAGTGGGTAAAGGTAACAATAAGTTCATCAATCATTCGGAAGCGGAAGGTGCCAAGCAAGCAATCGTGACAATACTTATTCTGGATAGAAACATTTTGTGGTTCTAAAGTTTTAACGGGCTGAGATTTTATTTTGAATTTCCACATGTATAATTACATTTTTATGTTATAGATAAAGCAGAATGAATGTCGGTCTTACCAATCCACATACAAATTTTGGGAAGGGCGAATGCCACAGGCTATTTTTGTCTATCGATCTATATCCGCGATTTTTCCACTTTGAGCTAAGGAACTGGGAATGACGAAGGACACGGTCTGCATCAATCACGACTCCTCTTTCCATCGTCACAGTCGCTACGTCTCAGGTTCGCGCCACGTTCGCACGCGTATGGTTTGAGCATTCGATATGGCTTCCTCAAATGGAAGTATGCAGCCCTTGTTTTGCGGATGCGTAAATCCTACTTAAAAGACTACGCATTTGGTACAGACTGTCAATGGACATGAAGTTCATGAATGAATCAATGGTTTAGTTTATCGCCTTCATCGATTTGTCTGTTTTTCTTCTTCTGGAAATGAGGCTAAGACTCGCCATAGAGAGTGAAGATGCTGTTAACGATTGAATATCGCTATCAATATTATCATTCGTTCACTCCAACCTTGCCAACTATTCGTGGTAAGCTTACAATTTGGGGATTTGTGAGTTTATATGAA